AAACTGCAACGAGCGAAGAATCTGGGGGTCCCATTCTTGAGCCACTCACTGAAGTTCTTAGGCCATTCTAATCATGGATTCGAGGCGATCGAGTGTTAGGCCAACCTCATCTCCTTCTTCAACCCTAGTTCCTCTTCCTCGCTTGCTAACTTTGTCGTCTCTGCCATTTTTTAGGCTAGAAGATGTGTATTTTACTTCAAAAATAATTAAAATCATAAATACATTAAAAAATACCTAACGCAAAAACCGCGATATGGCAAAAAAAATCCGCGATACAAAATTAGGTATGAAAACTTAAAAACCGCGAAAAGTTAACCGTGATATGGCGATGGACGACTGTATTTACCAGGATATCCGTTTACCTCGAGCAACTAACTATATTCGCAGTTTATAATATAGTCAAGCTCACACACCCTTTGTTTCTGTTGAGTGACTAGTAAGGACTTAAGAAAATATGTAAAGTATTAATGATGTCCCTTTTCGATAACCAATCATGCATATCGTACTGGGTAACGCAGAACTATGACTAAAGCGGTACCGTTTGGGGCAGCACCGCTTCTACGCACATCGCGGCAAAGTTTATGAGTTGTTAATACAAAAACAGGTGAATCATTTTCAGGCATGGTTCGATTTGAGGCCTATCGGTTTCCGCTTCTTACTGAGACTCACTATGACAGAATTTCGCCGCACCATCAGACAAATCTATGATTATATGGTGTTAAAGTTCGTTGTAAAGTTTCGACAGACTTTTATCAAGCTTCTTAATAAAACTGACCAAATATACTTAATTACTGAGTATTTTTCCAGTGTTAGTGTGGTCACAAAATAAATACATTACAGTTATACTAAATACACTGCAAAAAAGTTACTGTACAAATTTTTTTGTTACAGACCTACTCAGAGTCATTCCCACATGAGGAAACCATCCGACACAACAGTTCTGAAACAGGGAGATGAATCAGTTTAAATCATTTATCATCGCCATCTGGGGTACCGTAAGTTCTAAAGCTAAACATACTACAGGTTCATTCTATCCCACCGACCGAGGAGTGGTTCCTCGAAATGTTTTAGGTACTAACTGCTTCGACAAGCAACATACTCCTTGTTTCGAAATAAGTTAAATACCCTGGTACCGTTACTTCCAGCGATGGGTAATCCTTCTTCTACATCTTCAATGAAATCTTCGTCTTCGGGGTCACGTGAGACAGTGTTTCCAACATTCCCGATCCTGTGCCAGAGTCTGAGATTCTGTAGAAGATAACCGGAGTTAAGAATACACTCCTTCCATATATTTGCACAAGGTTAATCTTCGCCGTCCTCTGGCCTTCTGCCGGTCGGTTGGGCAAGAAACAGTTGCTTAGCCTTCTTTTCTGGAGGCATTCGCAACACATGCTCAAACTATCGAAGCTGTGACTTCTCAATCTGAAGAAGCTGCGGCTGTACAACAATACAAGGTATACGCATTCCCAACAATGTCGAGAGGCGTAAGGCCAGCGATTAGTCTCAGTAAGCCCATTTCAGCCGCTTGTATTAGAAACTGAAGTTTCACATTCATGGCCCACGACTCATGACGGTACGTAAGCATGGAAATAAAGATCAACTTGACCACAAAGACCTTCGTCTTCATACTCAGCTTTGATTTAGTCACAACAGTTAGGGTTACTTAACGCAGAATACCAGAGAGTGCCATTAGATTACGGCATAATCCAATTACTTAAATCTCTGGAAACCTATGCAGTTTTATAGGCAGAAAAAACTGCGACTCTTCCCACGAAAATCCGCTTGTTATTTGCCAGGTATGCTGAACGGCCTAGAAACAATTGTTATAGAGAAGAAACAAGAACCATGGCTAATGATGATGAAATGGTAGAACCATATAAGAAATGACTCAATCTCCTTCCAGACAAAACTGACCTCAGTAGGTGTGATGAAAATTATGAAAAAGAGGTCTGCCCTCTTTGAGAAACTACACATTTACTCCAGCCCGTAAGCTTCTCGTATTCGAACCGAAACACGGCAGAAGTTGATTAGAATGGCAGTTGGTAACATAGAGGAACAAAGTAAAGGCTTTTAGAGATGATTATTAACTTCTAAGACGCAGCAGCCGGTGCATCATAGCAAAACTATTATAAGACTACTAATACAACGGATACCGTCAACCAGAGACCTTCAACTTAAGCAAACAGCTTAAAAATTAGGTCAACAAACAAACAATAGATAAGATTCCCAAAGACATTTACAAGTCTTCGTAAATCTTTGGACAGCTGGAAATGATTAAGAAAGCTGACTACCCAAAACGCAAATCTGTCCACGTAAGATCTCTTGAACAAACCTGAAAATCAGGTAAGAGATCTTGAAGTAATATAAGTTGGCGTTAAACTGCGTGTTCCTTAAAGCCACACATGAGCCAGGGCTATCAACCGAGAGAGATAGTTGTGTAGAGAAAAGCTGCACTAAAAGGCTGCAGTGCTCAATGCTCGAAACCGATGGGAAGATCCGGGTGATTCAACTCAGATCACCTCAGGCAATGACTCTCGTGGTCGTCATCACGTAACGGAAGAAGACTGTAAACAATATACTTCAACAGATGAATCAAAAATGTTGCAGGTAGCACAGTGAAAAATACTGCGGGAAACATAACGGAAACAATACTGCCATCTCAATCATAACAGACAAGCGTTACACTTTACAACTGTCAATAACGCACTTAATGTTGCCTCTTTCGAGTCCAGAACACAATCAGTTGCGTCAACCGCTGTAGTTTTTAAATCGGAATGTAGCAGTAAATGATCAGCATGGTCAAGAGCATATGCCACGGTCAGAGAGTCCAAATAATGGAACATTTAAAAATGCAAAATTTTATGTTTTACTGTATTGACAAAATCGCAGGATCAATATATTGCGTTTGTATAACGAAAATACCTTATTATGGAATAATACCCTATTTTTTCTAAATAAGATAACCAACCTAACAAAAATTTATTTATAGCTATCAATATCTTTCAAAAAATTAGAAACATCAGTCACTTAACAATAAAACGAAAGCGTTAGTCTTTCATTTGATTAGCATAAAGTTCATGGTATAGTTAAAACGTAGGATTTCACCTATCTCTCAACAAGATCCGTTACCAAATAGCGGGACATTATCCCTTTGGTATCATTGTAGAAAATACACAGAGACACGTCAGTTGCATGGCAGACTAATCAAAGATCTGTTCAGAGAAACAAAAAATTCTAGATGAACGGCGTTAAATAGGCATCAAATAAGTATAAACGGTAATATAGCGTGTCGGTAAATGCAATATTCGAACAGATCTGACATTGGCAACTCATAGTTTAAATTTCAAACATTCCCTCCCTCGCAGGGAGAGAGCAGAAGCTGTATGATAAGGCCCTTATGTATCCACTGGCCATAGTTTGACTGTAGTCAACGGAGCGCCAGAATGCTGAACTTGTGCGAGTGGAAGCTAGACTACTCGGGTGTCAACTCGACGAAGTGCGATCAAGCCGGTGCTAGTAGAACGCAAACTGATTAACACACATTGCATGGAATCCTGTCACAGGAGCAGTGTCAAACACCCACCGAACTTACAACAGGCAAATGCTTCGTCTTTCTGGCAAATGCATGCCTTCCTTCCTGGAGGAAGTACTTGCTGTGAACAAAGTTCGGACTAAGGAATCCATCATTCAAAGGACTGTTTCAATGCACAAATCAGTTTAACACCGAAAAGTGGAGAGGCCTAATTGAAAGAGCGGTCTACGGCAATATCGACTTCATCAACTGCGACTAAGCGTTGTTGGAGTTTTCCGCTAAGGAAGTTGTTAAGAAATTCTTCAAATATGAAAAATGGATCAGTATCCGTTATCCAGCGAAGCTTGTGCACAAAATCGATGATAAATTTCATATTCGTATCGTACGACGATAACTTACATTTTAAGGATTTTTTGAAAATGAATGGCGTTACCGTAAAACAATTAAATTCTAACATTTTTTCGTAAAACATTGCCTAATTCGTAAAAGCCTTTCACCTATGAAAAATGCATTCAACTATCAAACCAGAAACTTATTTAACCGCATTAAATTGCAGACCAAAAACCCATCTGTATACTTGTTGTACACTGCGTAACTGAACTTTCATCATATTTCAGAACCGCTGCTCTTTAGACCCAACTTTTATGAGTACATTTGCATTGTAAGAAACGCAAATACATCCGGATTTTAACTTGAATCAGAATGTAAATTTCGTCTTGCATCTTGTCTATAAATTAGTTAACACTAGACAAAAATCTTCAGTTCACACGAAATAATAGAACGAATCACAAAAGACATGGAAACAAAAAATTTATTTCTATGCACTAATCATAAAAATGGGGGCATAAAGTCATCGACTTCATCTTCGCCTTCACAGAGTAAAGTCTTTTTATAATCCATGTACTTAAATTTTTGGTGTAGCGGAGCAGCACGGTTCAAGTGAAACAATAAACGTTCTTGCACTTGCTTCACAGCCCTTAAGGAAAAGACCAAAGTTTCGTGCTTTAAAATACTGTAACAATTGAGGCCTAAAATAAACAGATACGTTAAAATACTCAGGAGCGGGCCGACAACATACCGTACAACGGCATGATATTAAAACTGGGCAGTTCAGACACTGCATAAGCCAGGTTTCTTGGCGCGACATCATCTCTAAACAAGTGTTCTATGACAATAAAACAGTCAAATAAACAACAAGACTTACGTATCTACGAACAGCACCGAGAAACCCCAGTTACGGCGATCAGCCAAATCGCTCAAAAACTAAAAATACAGTAAATTTTTTGGATCGTGAAACAGCTTGTAAAGCAATTAATTTTTAATAATTTAATTTATCGTGGCGCGGTACAGAGTGGTAAGAAGTTGCCATCGAACGACAGAAATATCGAGTGACAATCTGAAAAAAATATAATTAACTGGACTGTCAATTTTCTTGGGCAAAAAATTCACTCAATGTTTCGATTCGATCATCTCAGAAGCCGCTGACATGGGAACAACGGAAAGTGAAGAGGGACAACTTAGTATTCTGGGGAGAAAATAACAGAGGGGCTAGGTACGGCCGTGCAGTTGACTGTTTAGTGCACAGCATTATTAATTAAGAAAAGCTGTATCTACACGTTACCAGTTAAGCACGTGTGTACCGAAGTGCACAAAGCATAAATGGTGCTGTTTTGCGCCCACACATCACACATGATAAAAATACCATGGAACTGTAGTGAACTTAAACGGATCTCTAGGAAACTAGAGGCAAGTGGACGGTGGGACAGTGGGGCTGTGCCGCACAAATCAGAAGTTACAGAAAATTATTCTTGCCGGCTGAACTGAAAACTAGCAATTTTTTAGTAAACCCACTGCTTTAGCAATTCACAATCATCTAAGTCTAAAAAAACTTTAATCAGTAAACTATTTCAGATCAGTGATGATCCATAAAACCGATCATTCAAATTCATATTAGCTGTTGCTGTCACTGCTGCTAGCGTAATATTCCTCACTACCACCGATTTGTCTGCAAAAGAAGCGCTTCCAAAATTCGCGTAGTCTTTGAAAGTACTTACAGCTATTGAATACCCATGAAAAAGGGATTTAAATAATTTTCACGTCATTACATCCATCAAATCGATGGACCATCGTTGATTTCCTCTAGCAGCTTCTAGACAGCACTTGTTTTCGAACCTTCTATATTCAATGGTCAAGAAGTCAAATTTGTTCGTTAGTTCGACTGTATCAGAAGCACTGCAGAAATAACGTTTTTTCACTACTGGATAGAAATTGACACAAATCAAACCAGCAACATGCTACGCTCTACCGCAACAGTTATATGCAGTCTGCAGCATATTTTAAGATAGCTAAGGACTACCGCCCGAGAATGAGCGCTAATCACGTGAAACGTAACAGTCGCTTCGTACAATAGTCAGTGCACCAATAAATTATTTAACTTAAAATAAAACTATTTCATTTAACACAGGACTTTCTTTCAGTGGAAGGTAAGGTCAGGAACTGTTTCGTGGCGTAGATCAGAAGCTGACATATTCGTTCGTCTATACTTCAGGAAATACTTAAATTTTGGTCGTTCATTTCTTATCAGACATGATGTTTTCGTTTAACAGACACCTTTGAGAAAAAGCTGCAGAGATAGACATAGAGAATTCAGTAGGAAGTTTAGCATAACACATGTAAACACAGATTTCGAGGTGTATTGCACATCATCTTTGCTTTTAATTGTCTGGAAACGGCTAGATTCATTTTTGCATCATTCCGTTTGATATAACCACCTCGCATTTATCAAGAACAATGTTACAGGAGCAGTACTCCATATATGCCACTGCATTACCATCAAAGATTGTTTGTAAGCAAGAACGTGACAGAAAATGCATAAATTCACCCATGTCTAAAACTGATGGCTACCAAAATTAGTATGTAACGATATTAGCAAGCCAATACGGATGTTAATCAGTAGTAAAAAACGCTCAAAATCTAGGCATCTGGTATCGGCTACTGAAGACTGTACATCATTTATGTATTACTACTGTATACTGAAAAAGAAACACCATTTGTGGTTCCAAAAGCGCAGCAACTTTACACAGAGATTTCGTTCATACGCTAAATCGTTTTTATAACTGATTAAAGACATACATTATTAGACCATTGCAA